GATGCTTTTAATTCACCTTAAAACAGATTATTGAGCTACTATTACAATCTATGAGTTGTTACTAGGAATAATTGATCCAATGATGAGATAATTCACAGGAAACCCATACTGTTCTATCTGACACTAAGAATAGTAGGAGCAGTAGAGACTTTGGGAAGAAATGCCTTGTGACCTCATATATGGAGGATCAACTAATAGAGATGTTCAGTATGGAATAGGTTATAAGTCTTAAGAGGCTGGAGAACTGGTTAGCTGCATGCTGCAGATAGTATCCAAGAGGTGACTGATAGCTACAGAAGGTAAAATTTTAGTTTCTATTATCATAGGGAGTCAATCACTTTATACATGTTCAAAGTATATTGATATAAGTTCATAATGCTGATAATACTTGCAATCAGCCCTCAGGGAAATATTCTGTTAGAAATGATAATTTAAGATTCTGAGCATTCCAATGTCTGGGTCTTCAAAATCTGTTGTTGTTATAACACCTCTTTGTAGAAGGACTAGTTCGTTGTAGCAGTTGTTTAGAGTTGGGGAGGGTCACAACAACAAGTCTTGCTTGATGTCATTTGGGAAATTTATGTTAGCTGAAGAGAGGTTCAGTGGGAACTCTGACCTGTCCTTGCTCTGTGGAGGCTGAAGTCATCCTTTCAGCTGAGCATCATTTCCTGTCCTCTAAATCCTATAAAAAGTGCATGTCCCTGACTTTTAATGGAATGTCTGGCATGTAGGGTACATGCCATATGTATTTCTTGCCTAAAATATTAAATACTTACTAGGTGCAGAGGTACACACCTGTGTTCCCAGCACTGATGGAGGCTGAGAGGCAGGAGGATAAAAAGTTTGAGTCCCACCATTGCAGCTTAGCAAGATCCTCTCTCAAAACAAAACATCAAAAAGTCTAGAGATGAAGCTTAAGGTAGAGTGCACCTGGGTTTGATCCTCTGTACCAATGAAAAAAATCACTATAATCTCAACTTTCAATGATATTCAAGGAAAAATTATAATGAGACAGTGCTGAGTTTCTGTCTTATTTAAGCCTATGAACTATACAAGACACTATGTCATGCAATATCATTAAAAAACCACTTCCAGCTCCACAGCCTGCCTGACTTACTGGGAACAGGTTCAGTACCTGTGTGTGTGCACTCCCTGCACCTGGAACTATTCTAACAAGAATCTTTATGCAACCAGAATATTGCCTTTAAAAATTTGTATCTTTGCAATATGCACCTGAAAATTTGTTCCTTAATTACCAAAAGATCAGGTTTTCAATTTTCCAGTGAAGAGCTATGTCTTTGGAACTTTTACAAGTAGCTAATATTAACTCAGTTTATTCATACTGAGCAATATTTAATTTTTATTTTTTCCTATAGAAAAAGCTGTAGTCATAGAAGGGGATTCTCAGTTACTTGTATTCCTGATGATTGTATGCCTTGTAAATGAACAAAACCTTTAAAAAATAAGAAAAAAGTGTTTTCATTCCTATTCTTTTTAACCTCTTTTAAAAAATGACCCCCTCAAAAAAAATCTCAAAAAGTCAGAGTGCAGAGTTATTTTGATTTCAAGTCTTATGTGTTTTGTAATTAAAATAAGCATACTTTTTTTTTCACTCAGGCAAAGGAGAAATGACTTCCATATTCTATTTATCTTCTATATTGTTGGATGTATAATATTTTTTCTCACAAGTATGAAAAGTTTGTCAGAAATTCTGATACACCTGTTGAATTTGAAATTATATTTCTATCTAAACTATGTAGTGATGTCTTATAAAAGCATTTAAAAATTAAACTATAGGTAACAAGTATGCATTGGCTATTTCAAGAAGTTAGAAGAAAAATATTAAATATTTTTACCATTGAGAAATGATAGATGATTGTGCAAATAAATATATTTAATCTGATTTAAATATTACTCATGTATACATTTATTAAACATCAAAATATAACATAATTATATATATATTTTATGCTTTTCTAAATGAGTTTATAAAAATAAAATAAAAATTAGACTAAATATTGTCCCTACAAAGATTAAGATAAAGGGCACATTGAGATTTATGATTTGAATTCTGGTTTTTCTCTTTAGTAATAAAAGGACATTGAACACGTCCTTTACCAGACTATCAATCTTCTTATCTACATAGTGACACTTTCCAAATATTGTTCTGAGGATGCCATGAACAATGTGTGCAATCCTGTATTTTTCAATGATGAGACAACGTGCAAAATTTTTTCTTGATGACTTTAGAAATAATATACTATCTAAATATCTTTTGTTTACTTACAATTAGAGTTTATGTGTGCTGTGATTCCAAAAATCTTTTCAGGTCATTCAGCTTATCTTCTCTTAGTTTTTGAGAGAACTCAGTTGCTGCATACAAAAGAGACTTCCTGAAAGTCAAAACTGTAGAACAGCACCACTGTAGTCAGGAATTCAGGTGTTTTGGAATGGATTGATAGTATTACAGAATCCATTGTTTTCATTCAATATTTATATCTTTCACTTGGCATGTTATCCAGAAGATGACTGATTTTAGGAAAGATTGTTTTAGTAATACTTATATCATTTAATTATATCTGAAGCCATCATTAAAATCACTAGCTCCTCTTATGCTTTTTATGACCAAGTTAATCAGACAATGTTACTGTGTTTTTTCATCTTGGCTTAGTAAGGTTTTCTAAATAGTAAATATAGCCCAGTTGGAAGACTTAATGGGCAAATATGGGGAAATAAGAGCCTTGAACACTTTTATATTTTGTTGGGTTTTCTATTATTGGGAAACAGGTGTCTATCATGTATTCAACCAGTATTTCCAGTAGGCATAATAAATAGCTAACAGGAATTGTGTTTTTTCTGTGCAACTTTTAAATAATTTGTATGCAAGTTCTTATTCAAATTTCACTCTCATTCTGTTAGGATAGAAATTATTATTACCACAATTCTGTTAAGAAAAAAATTGAGATGCAGAGAATTCAAGTGTTATGTCCAACCTTCCAAGCAGAGATTGAAGCTAACACCATGATTAAAATCTGGCAGTTTTTCTCCTGAGTATGTGCTTGTTAATCACATGATTATGCTAGTGGATATTAAAAGCTCTGTGTTTGTGGGTGTGGACATATCACCTAGTGAAGCAGGTAAGAGCTCTGCCTTTATCAAAGTAGATAATACAGAATATAAGTGCAGGATCATTAGTGACCTCTCAGTGGGTTTCAAGGAAAAGTAATCATAGTTTTCTGATACAGTAATAGAAGTCTTCAAATAACAGTGGTGCATAAATATTTTCTAAGGAACTGTATTAAATAAGAAATGTAAAGGGTCAGGGATTTAGCTTAGTGGTTCTGCAGGCTGCTTGACAAGCACAAGGACCTGAGTTCAATCCCCAGTACAAAAAAAAAAAAAGAGAGAGAGAGAAATTTAAAGCAAAATATGCAGACACCACCATAACGAAGGGGTAGAGGAACTGAAACAGGTTGAGTTGGAGCGATTGGTACAAAGCCATTGCTTTTTTCATGTCAAGGTCTATGAATCAGAAATATTAGCAGTTTGCGTTGGCATCGTAGGGTCTGATGAAGTTCTATTCATTTAGCTAAAGCTAGAAATCGAATATATCCCAATTATGGTAGTCTTAAACATAAGCTTAAAATTTGTTTTTCTCCTTGAACTAATAGACTTTCACAGCCAGATGTGAACAGACAGAACCAATTAAAATGATAATTTGTTAACATAAATCCGACTCGTGTATATGAGAGAAGTAATGTGGCCAATCATAAACTATTGCAAAAATGTGTGTTTGAAATAAAAAATCATGAGTGAGAATAAAGAGGAAAGAGCAGACATGAAAAGAATGAAAAACAAAAAGCTTCATTACTTTTCATATTAGTTGTAATTTCTTAGAATCTAATAAGAATATATTCATATGAAATTGCCCCCCAAAATTCATGTAACAATTTTTGAACCAATCTGTTAGTTTCTAAATTTAGAAAGTGGAAGTTAGATTATATAAAAAAGCAGATGATGTACACTTCCAAAAATCATATCATCTTGATATTTTAAAAGTTAATTAACCAAGAAGACCTATCATGTAAAGGTACAAGATCCCAATGATGAATGTAACTGTGCTGTACACCTAAAATGTACTAATAAACTCAATGAGAAAAAAAAAGTGTTGAACACATAATAATCACTGAAAAAGAGTTAATGTTGTTAATTAAAAAAAAACTCATTACACTCTCAATTTTTAATTATTGGTAGTTACTTTGTTAATTTGCCAAAAAGACAATGTCTTAATATATTTCAGCTTCCTTATAATCAAGATGCTAATAAGCAAAGCATCATATTAAATAAAATGGAACTTACAAAATAATTTAACTCTCCAAGAATCTGAAATGAGCCAAGCGTGGTGGCACACAGCTATAATCCCAGCACTCGGGAGGCTGAGACAGGAGGATTGCTGTGAGTTCGAGACCAGCCTGGGCTACATAGTGAGTTCCAGGTCAGTCTCAACTACATAGTGAGACCCTGTCTCAAAAAACAAAAACAAAAACAAAAAACAAACAAACAAAAAAATCTGAAATGTACACTGTTGTCCTTGCTATTAAAGAGCTGCCAAAGAAAGATGCAAGTGGTAATCTTTGTTTTAATATAGCAAGAATTATATAAATATATAAAATATAGGTAACTGATCAGCATCCAGGATGAAATTAATAATCATTTTGTCAATAACTATAATCTAAATATTGTACTTTTATGGTTGAATATTGCTTGTGTTTGTGCTGATTTCATGAAATTACAGTATAAATAGGGACAAGGGGAAAAAATGAGAACCAAGACCTGTCATGTAAAGGCACAAGATCCCAATAATAAATGTAACTGTACTGTATACCTAGAATGTACCAATAAACTCAATTAAACAATAAAGAGGAAATGAAAGTTAATATTTAATGTTGTTGTCTATATGATTAGTGCTATTTAATGAAGCAAGTTCATATTCTATACAGGTATGACATCAAAGATGATTACACACTGAGAATTAAGAAGGCCATAAGTACAGATGAAGGTACCTATATGTGTGTTGCTGAGAATCGGGTGGGAAAAATGGAAGCCTCTGCTACCCTCACTGTCCGAGGTAAGAGACTTAAAATATCAAATAAAATTGATCAGAACCAGGAAGCTAATAATTTAATTTGGTGAGTTCAAAATCAATATAATACCAAGTTATAGTAAATGCTTACATTTTGTGAATTTTTGTCATTAATGGTAATAAAATTACTGTACTTTTTTTTTTTTTTTTTTTTTTGGTACTGGGGATCCAACTCAGGCCCTTTCTAGACAGGTGGTGGAACCTCTGAGCCAAATGTCCGGCCCCATTATACTTTCAAATTTGGGTTCCAAGTGATAATCACTGAAGTATTAACTCTTGGGATAGTAACTTATGTGGATCAAATAGTTTATATTGCTTAAAATTAAATCTTAAAAAACAGAAAAGATGTTCACTCGTCTTTTTCCATTGCTTTCAATTGCTTACTGCTTATAAATGTAATCAGTTTCAGAGGTACTCAAATGTATTCTCTTCGTCAGTTTGTTACTTTATACTTGTAATTTGGCATTCAAACATCAATCTGAAAAAAAAAAAAGTATGAAAATAGATAGCAGAGAAACTCCTGAATCCTGATTATCTGATTTAGAGAGGGATTCATGAAGTTCACTGGCCTTAAATAATTGAAATAGTGCTGCTATTGTAATAACTCTCAGATTCTGGGTGTTACACACTTTCTCAGTCCTGCAATAATATTCATTAATAGACTTATTGGAGATGCTTATAAGGGAAAGAAAGCATTACTAGATCCTACAGTGCACTAGAATGAATTCACTCTCTTCCTGGTGGGACATGTTGATCACAGGAGATAAATTGCATAGTTCAGGGAACCAAGAAGTATCGTGAAGACAGCAAACATTTACCCTTTCCAAACAGACATCACTATGACATCCTTTACACTTACAGGACTTAAAGCAGAGAGACAACCTCGGCTCAGTGCATTCTTTCTACCTTTGTTCTGCTACCAACAATGCCGCCTCCTCTCGTTCATGCTCGGTGACGAGGCTAGCTGCTCATCAGACTATCAGTTATTTCTAGCCCTGTTTAGTCATAGCTTTTGCCCTTGGACAGCTTTGCTTTGAGAATTTTTTTATAAGATGAGGAGAAGAATTTGGAGGCATTTGGAGTTGCAAGAAATGATCAGGGATTGTTTTTTAAGATACTCCTCCATTTTTTTCAGGAAAAAAAGTGTCTTTTCTAAGATCTCTAGTACAGGCTTCAAATATACAAAACTCATTTGCACCCAGGTAACTGTTGACAGCCATTCCATTCCATATACCTGGAAAATACTGTGTTTCTGTGTTTTTCATTTCTTTCATTCCTAATCCACCTAATCATTTTTTTTCTCTAGACAGTCTAATGTGAACTTCAATACAAAACAAATATAAATAACATTGAAAAGTTTAATTGCTTAAAAAACATTTTCACTCCTCATTAGAGAGCAGATCATTAAGGACTAAGACCACATATGTATTGAATATACGTGCTGATTTTATCTGTGCAAAATCAAATAACTCCTATTAAACAATGAATACTCTCTAGCTTACACACTCTATGTTTGTTTGTACAGGCTCCTCTTCATAAAACAGTTTACCTGACCAAACTATCCCAAATTTTGTGTGCATATACTTCTAAAGTAAATGGAAACAATACAATAAATGACCTATTTAGAAATGTTTCATTCAAAAAATATTTGCTGCCTAAACAAATGGTGAAAAAATGTGAGATGGTTGTTTGTAAATCCAGCAGGGTTCCTTTTATATTTGAATTCTTGGATGAAGGAGATTTGAAGTAGTCTGTTCATGATTCGTTGAAAGTTTCAGGTTTCACATTTCATTTGACAAGCATGCTCCTCATACTTGGATGTTTGAAAGTAACTTACAAAACTAATATAATATATTGTTTATTTTAAATATTTTTTTAAAATCAGCAACTCTTAAATTTTTTCTCACCTAATCTGTAGCCTCAGGATTGGTTACAGTATTCATTATTTTATTTGTGGTATAAATTTATCACTTATCTACAAATAAAACCCCAATATTAGAGTTAAAGAAAACAATCTTCATAATACAATATGATTTAGAATAAAATATTATTTTAAAACATTTTTACCTTTAGGAAAGAAAGCACTTGGGATTTCTCATGCTAAGAAGTTAATAGGGAAAAATCATTTAGTTTCTTTTTGTTTGGTCATTTTTTTGTGCACATAGTGAAATATTCAGACTTTTGGGTGATTGCTTTAAAAGAACAGGGTCAACTCACAGAAAGGCAATGATCTATTTCATTTGGTTATTGTAGGAACACAATTTAGTTTAATTTGCTAATTTGAAAATGCCTGTCTGCTTTTTTTTTTCAGAATAAAATGTTGCTATGTAACAAATTTTCATTTTGATGTTTCTCCAAAATTGTTCCATGAAGTTCACTCTAGCTAATGGAGGAAAACTTTCAGGGAGTTTTATTATCAGCATCTAAAACAGAGAAGTCCTATGTCATTTTCCTTTTGAAAAATATCATAAAAATGGACTGTAAAATTAAGCTTACTGTTGAGTAGTTTCTCCCTTTGCTCATTAGGTAAACAAAAAAAAATTAGAAAGAAACAAAGTTAGTTAACAACAAAGCCATAATTTATTGTCTAATGGAATAATAGAAAAGTTTAAATTGCCTGAAATGGTTTAAACAATAAAAATGGCATATGTTTAAATACAATTTTCTACAATTTTGATTGCTTCACTGGCTTGACATAAATGAAGACCTTCCTGAAAAAATATTTCTTGTAAGAAAATAAAGTCTTAAAATTCTTTTTTAAATAAAAGAGCAATTTACTTATTCCAACATAATTTCTCACCCAAGTTTCTTTTTTTGCCCTTAATATCATAGACTCAAAACATCTTTTGTTTTTTTAATTAAGGAAACATGTTTGGAATCCAGCATTATGTGGCTACTAAAATAGTACAAATTGCAAGATGTGAAGCAAAATACTTTTTATGTAAGACATAAAGAAATAAAGTGAATTCTGGTCAATTAAAACAGGCATAACTTTATGATGTTAATCTATTATCTTGTTCTTAGTAATTAGGACATTCTGCCACTAAGCCAAATGTTTTATTTTGAGACAGGATCATGCTAAATTGCGTGGGTGGGACTCCAAATTGTGATCCACCTACCTGGGCTTCTATCAAGTTAGGGTAATTATTTTTAATCCTGGTTTCCACCCTTTTGCAACAAAGTTAAATATACTTTATGATGTTAATCTATTATCTTGTTCTTAGTAATTAGGACATTCTGCCACTAAGCCAAATGTTTTATTTTGAGACAGGATCATGCTAAATTGCGTGGGTGGGACTCCAAATTGTGATCCACCTACCTGGGCTTCTATCAAGTTAGGGTAATTATTTTTAATCCTGGTTTCCACCCTTTTGCAACAAAGTTAAATATATAT